CTCCTTCAAGTGATGCTGAATCACCGCAGTAAGCATGTACGGCGAGCAGTTTACGCCAAATGGCAGTTTCGTTAGCCTCCAGGTTAACAGTTCATCGCTGTCGCTTCGACCGGGCCACAAGAAACGCAGGTACGGACGGTCTTCGGGATTAACCGCGACCATGAAGAAAGCCTTGCGGATGTCCGCTTGCAGCGCGCTCTTATATTCACGGAACCGTAATAGCATACCTGCGAGACTCGGCAATAGCGACGGTCCAGGGTCAACCATGTCGTTCAACGACTTGCCATCTGGAGCCGTCGCCGAGGCATTGAACACCACTCTTAACTTCGTGGTTGCAGCGTGCTCGCGGAATACACCATGATGCGGTACATAGTACCCGGCATCGCTCTCACATGGCTCCAGCTCAATTGCTCCAAGCTCGCGGTACTCCCTGATCAGCACATCATCATAGAGCGCACGCTTCCCATTCCTCTTCAGCTTTTCAAGAAGCCGCGTTGCGATGACTCTAGCTTGAGCAAAGTTATCCGTTGGGCGACGCTCATTTCGCCACAAGAGACCCACTTGGTACCCGCTGCCCTGGCGACATAGCGGGAAAGATGGCAGGTGCTGATGTTGTTCTGGAGGTTCATCCAACTGCCATAGTTGTTCAATGTGGGCTGTGACACATGACACGGTCACCGGCTGACTGTTTCGACTTGGTGCAGACGCTGGACCAGATAATACATTACCTATCTCTGTGTTCCACACCGTCTCACCATTAACTTCCTTCTTGCTGTGCAGTACAGCGTTGATATAGTCTGCACCAATCAGCATATGTATTTCGTCTGATGTCCCTTGTTGAGGCTTGTCACTCAGCTCTACTCCCCAACTGTGCCACTGGGCAATGGTCTGCGGACTTGCGCACTTCAGGTCCATCTCAAGCGTTGGTTTCACGAACGCGCGTACCCGAATGCTAGCGGAGCTACCCTGGATCGTGATGGCGTACTTATCCATGCGCTGTTGGGTTGGTTCCGCGCCGAACGGCTTCACCTCTACATTTTCAACCCCAACGTGTTCTGCATCGATTGCTGACACCAACGCTGCAGTCACGAATGACGCCTCAGCACCCGAGTCCAGGAACACGCGAACCTTCGCGTTTCGAGTTCTTCCCTCAACTCGTGCCACTCCGGTCATCAGCCGCACACTTGGCGAGTGTAGACAGCACGACCCAACATTCTTCTCCGTAACTATCTCAGTCGGTTTCTCCCGGCTGTAACCTGCTCTATCCAACACCTCATGTATTAGCAGGTGGTGTTTCCTCTGGCATTTCGTGCATCTCGAGCCTGACCGACATTCTCTAGCCATATGGCCATACTTAAGGCAGTTCCAGCAGAGTCTCTCTCGCTGCAGAAAACCCTTTCTCCCTTCCAGTGGCAGCGACTTTAGCTGCTTCTCTGCATCTGCGACCGATATCGCCATGCACTGTGCCGACGCCGTGGGCCTTGGCACGGATCGTTCTACTGGCTTCCTGGCAGTATCACCCTGTCGTCCGTGCGCGACCTGGTAAGACGCGCCGTGCTCCTGTACCTGGCGCAGTGACATCCCGTAGCACTGCCGTTCGACCAGGTACGTCTTCATCTCAGGTCCGCATTGCTCCAAGATTACCTGCTTTGCCATTGCTTGCAGCACCGGGGACATTTTACCTATATCGGCGCTATACTTGGTGTCCACCTCGCCATCTTCTGTCATAGCGAGTGTGGCCCACACTTCTACTTCTCGGCAAACACGGACAACGTATTGGTGAAACGACTCATCTGACCGCTGCTTGCCGGTCAGCAATGTCTTCCACGCTTTATCCGGAGTCTTTCCGAGCGAGGCGAGCAACTCTCGCTTCGCTTCCTCGTAATTATTGCATCCAATACATATCCTCTCCGCTTTGCTACCCGCTAGCGCGATGCGCAGTCGCAGCAGCCATTCGCTTTCTTCGAACTCGTTCTTGGAGCAGATGTCCTCGAACAGGTCAAGATAACGCTCCAATGGCTGCGTTCCATCATATGAGGGGATTTTCATCAACGGTTGACGCCCCCCGCTGTTACTGGGAGCTTCCTCTGTACCTCCCATCGCGGCTTTACCATCACCCTCATACGCATTGGCGATGCGCTCGTTAATCTCCTTTAGTGTTTTGTCAAACTCGGTGCGGAGCGCCTCCTCTCGCCGTCTGGCACTGCGCTCCTCACGCTCCTCGTACTGTTGGAGCCTCTGCTCCACATGTTCCATCAACAACTCGCCTTCTAATCCTAACCGAACTCCATTGGCGATAAAGCTGGCTTCCAAATTGTGTAGTTGCTCTGCCATGCTCGCTCCTATCCTGGCGTGGTCGCCAAATGTTGTGAACCCTCTAAGATTCTCTAAATTGTCAGGATCGTACGACCACACGGCACGAGGACAACTCTTATCCTTTACACAGTATATTTCACTTCATCTGATAATTAACAATGAACACTAATAACACCAGCTATTTATAGCATGCAGAAAACAGCGTACATGCAAAACATAAGCATATAAAACTGGACATAACAGCGTATACAGCAAAACGCACACAACGCATATAGCGTATGCCATGCAGCAACATCAGCGGTACGGCGGAGTCGAAAGACACCATTGCGACGAATACAATGCCATAAGCGCGAAGGCCTTTCCCAATTGAGAACTGGTGGTTTACAACAAACAGGGAGCCTGATCTGTATCAGGTACGGCTGCGGTTAAACTTTTCTAAGCACTCGCTGCGGTTAGCCTCTTGTCCAACACCTGATAGTCCAGATGTTGTGGTCGTCCAAAGCCGGTCTGTACTGCTGGCATAGGTCACTGTAGAAACACACAGCTTTTCCGATTACGAAATAAAGTCACGGTGTATTCCCTGTTGCCAGCTCAGCCCTGTTTTCATTAATGGTCATGCACTCATGTCTCTCTTATCTGAACCTCGAAGTTACGGGCACCTGAGTCTACCGGACACCCCGTGGGTGTGTTTTAGTGGAAATGTTACCACTCTTTTGTCATTCAGTGCGGCAATCGTGACGCCAAATGGCAGATCTCCGGCCCTCCCCCATTGGCAGGTATGTAATTTGGAGATAGAGGGACTTTTCAAAGTTATGGCCAGTGCCCGGTCTCTGGATGGCCCGGATAAGCGAGATGCAAGTGTATGTGCTGGCCTGCACGGGAAGATGGCCAGGGTTGGGTCTTGTTTTGTGGTTGTCTCCACATGTCTATTGTAGGGCTGTGTTCTTAGCAATAAAAATAAAAAGTGATATTGACATACCACTGTGCATATGTCAAATGCCAGAAAGCTGTTCCTGCAATTAATTCAAGTCAACACCTTGCCAGTGAGATGACTCTCCCTTCAGTCTGCTTGCATGATCCCGTCATGTTGGAGTATGTAAATTAATTAATCAACCAGGTGTTCCCAGTGCAAAGTTCATGTCAGCAGCTGAGATTGAGTGCTTTATATGTAGTGTGATAGGATTAAGAGAGAAGGAAACAGGTCAGTAGTAGCGTTGCGACATTGCAATCAGTCAGGGCAGGCAGGTGTGCATTACCCTACAAAGAGGAGATCATCGGATTGGCACCTGGCATGTTGATTCTCTTCTACTAGTATATCATTGTCAGTACTTGAACTGTACTACTTGGGATTATACAAACTGAGACATGCACTTCACTGTGGCTAACTCTTCACCATCTGACTTGAGATGGTGCAAATCGTGACACTTTTTGACGTTCGATATGGATTGGGATGTTTGTTTATGGAAGTTTTATAGCTTTTTAAAAGTCTGTGAGATAGTGTAGGTATATTTGTACAGTCATGTGACATGATCCCAGTTCTTAGCACTGTAGTGGTATCCGTGTTATGTCATCATGTTACTCTGTACCAGTACCGTAAAGTACCGTTGATCCGCCCCCACGCCATGTCGCTTTCCCAGCTGGATTTTCGGCAGGGGCGGGAATTAGATCAAGGCTGTCAAGTGCAGTACGACGTACAACGCCGTGGAAGTTCAGACTCGATGTGCTGGATTGTGCACATTTTCATCCTGCATTGGCACGTGTTGTGTACAGCAGTGCATGCGTCGGTTCAACATTGTATTTCGTTGTATACGCCGAAATCGCTCCACAGGTGGAAAATCGACAGGGGGCGGCAATTAGAGAGGGAGCGGATCAACGGTACTTTACGGTAGTAGTCATCAGGGGCGTAGCAGCCGGTCCTGCCGGTTGCGCCCGATCACGTTTCTTGCATCCTATAAATTTCAAAACATTTCCTGGGAGATCCCCCCCCCCCCCCCCCACCACCGGATCACCTCCAACAGCAGTGTTACATGCCTGGTTATACTGTTTGATATGCTCCTGGGAGTCATTATTTTCTTGATGATGCTCTCATGGGCTAAATATTAGAACTGAAGAATTTTGACAGAGTGCTGGTGCGTGCATCTTACTGCTTGAAGGCACCTCCATCTTACGCACTTCGACACAGGCTCTCAGCTGGACTGAAGAGAAAATGCTGCATTGGTATTGCACTGATCAGGGCAATGCCCCGGTGATGCCGATTTAGTGAAATATTGGCCCCCATTTCTCTTTTTCCAACTTTTGGATATTTTACACTTTTCGGATCATCCTGTTGGTGGGTTCTGCTGCATCGTTGCATGCGTAAAACATTGTGTTTGACCATGGAGATTGCGAATCTATCCTTCTTCGATCAATCAATATCTGGCTTGCATCGACCATCGACCATGGAGTCATCAAATACCGGTATTTGACGACTCCCTGACCTCGACGCTTTTCTCACTTTTCATTTTATTTTAAAGAATCAACTCTGAACCTGTGGTGATGCATGTGAGGTAGATGTGCAATGAAGTGTAAACAATGAACATTACAATGAACAGTTATTCCCTGTGGTGAACTGACCATTTTTCGCCCAAATCCCAGAAATGCCGCTGAGAATATCTTGTGGCTGTTGTTGCCGTGTTTATGTTCAGCTTTGGGCTTCTTGCTAAGTCAAGGAGCTAACCTGACGGATGTGCATCGACAGCAATACGGACCATACTTTCGCTTCAACACCACCATCACGTACAACACTACCAGGATATTCAACTCAACCGGAAAGTTCTTTATCATCTACAACAACACGATGCGCTATGTCAATCCTGGCAGCAATGTTCCAAACTTCCCGAATGTCCCTCCACCGGAAACACGCGTATGGACGTACAATGTGATGGTCACTTACCCACCACTAGTCGGACCACTACGTACACCTCCGCCATTGCATAGCACTGTGCAAATTCCACCTGGTAGCAACAGCCCTGTTGCCACTGTGCAGGAAGAGCTGACAACCACAGCGGCGGTTACAGAAGGTGATCAGTGTGTGGGAGTTGTTGTTGTTGTTGTTGTTGTTGTTGTTGTTGTTGTTGTTGTTGTTGTTGTTGTTGTTGTTGTTGTTGTTGTTGTCATTATAGGTTACTTCAAAGGCAATGTAAAGCTATGATTGATTTTGGATATACCTGTCAAAAGACACGCAAGGAGGCCATCATCCAAGAAGATATTGAGTTAAGAAGAGATGTGAGGATATCTTAATCTGGATACGGCTTGGAAAACTGGAGATGAGATGACACTGCCTTTGGTATCTGTGCGTCTTCTGCCCTGCCATTCTTTCCATTCTCTCCCCTGTTTTCATTTCATGCATGTATTTCTGCAGAAAGGACAACTGAGCCCCTGCCCACATCAGAGGCCATAGAAGCTACAGAAATACCAGACACTACAGAAACCATGGCAGTTGAACTAGAAACAACAGCAGCTGCCCTAACAACAGTAGCAGCAACCTCCCCTACAACGACAAGACCAGTAGCAGCAGCACTGGTAAAAGGCAACCAATGCTGGCTGAGAGAAACTTCCAGGAGAGACATAGTTGGTAAGTTAGACGTTAAATCTGGAATTACTGGCAGGCTAACAAACAAGGCATGCCTGAAACCCTGTGTATTTTATAATAGTGTTGACCGAGTCCTACAAATTAGTGGTTGCGACTCTGGTGAGGATTTGTTAGGAAAGGGTTTGCTCCCCACACTGGAGCTCCTGCTTTTCCGCCGACTTGACGTGACACTTGACTGACTCACGACTGCCATCCAGAGCATGCGGGAAGTCCATCGAACCGTCGAGTTGGCAAACCTGCAAGAAAGCATCACTCCCTGCTCAATACACAGTGTTTCAGGGAATTCACCCCTCATCAGTTGTACGCTTGAGACAATTACTGGCAGGTATGGACACGTTGCAGTGCATTGATCTAGTTCTGTTTCTTATCTAGTCCCTCAATCTCCCTTCCTGATTGGATTGTCTGCCTAACAGATGTGTACAACAGAGTGCGTACAATCCCCAGCTACGACTGTGGTGAAGTGGAGATTGGCACTGAGGAACATTCCCTGCTGACTCAGCAACATGATCTACGAAAGAACACAGTAAGGTAACACATGACCCAGTGTGTTTGTATGTCCATGACCCAGTGTGTTTGTATGTCCATGACCCAGTGTGCTTGTATGTCCATGACCCAGTGTGTTTGTATGCCCATGACCCAGTGTGTTTGTATGTCCATGACCCAGTGTGTTTGTATGCCCATGACCCAGTGTGTTTGTATGTCCATGACCCAGTGTGTTTGTATGTCCATGACCCAGTGTGTTTGTATGCCCATGACCCAGTGTGTTTGTATGTCCATGACCCAGTGTGTTTGTATGTCCATGACCCAGTGTGTTTGTATGTCCATGGCCCAGTGTGTTTGTATGTCCATGACCCAGTGTGTTTGTATGCCCATGACCCAGTGTGTTTGTATGTCCATGACCCAGTGTGTTTGTATGTGCATGACCCTGCCTCTTTACAAGTTATGCCCATGACTCAACATGCTTGTATAACCATGGCTCAGCATGTTTATATGTCCATGGTATGTGCAGCAAGGTAACATATGACCCAGCGTGTAGCCATGATACTAGTATGTGTACGTGTAGCATACACAGCAATGACTTCACTGAAGGAATATTATACTAGCAGCAGGACTCCGTAACCACGTACCGTATTATCTCTAATAATAAGCACGGTCTTTTATTTTTTCAATGTACCTCCGCCCCGTGCTATTATTGGAGACGTTCCTTTATTGGAGACTGTTCCATTATTATTTCAACCTCATTTCAGAGGCATGTTGCCATGCCAAATTTATTTATTTTATTTATTTTATTCCAAGCAATACATGGCTGGGGTAGCCAATGACCACTTTGCGTGGCGATTGCAGGGTTTTTATAGCCAACCATGGCACACACATTTCAGGGTTTTTTTGCCGGTACAGATAATGAATTTACACAGTGTGCATATAATGGAGACTGAGCACTCTATTTTTTGAATGCCGCCCCAAGGTGTTCTATTATTGGAGATGTGCTATTATTGGAGACTGTGCTTATATTAGAGATAATACGGTATGTAGCTGTGGTCCCCCGTTGACGAGCTAGCTGCATGGCGTGCTTCCTTCATTACATCATGTCACTGACTGCCTTCATTGCATCATGTACTGCCTTCATTATGTCATGTATTGCCTTCATTACATCATGTACTGCCTTCATTACATCATGTGCTGCCTTCATTACATCATGTGCTGCCTTCATTACGTCATGTGCTGCCTTCCTTATATCATGCCCCTACAGCCATGCAGTGTGTACATTCAAACGTTAGCGAGAAACCAAAGTGTGTAGCAGCAGCAGAAACAGCAGCAGCAATAGCAGCTATCGGTGTCTGTCTATCTGACTTCTGTTTTTCTATCGGCTTATTGTATTGTCTACATCTAACGACTGGAAATGTACAGATTTGCGCATTAGACGAGCACTGTCAAGTCAATGAGAAGATCCAGGACCTATTCCTGTCCAAAGGTGGAGTTGAAAACACCTTAACAGCAAGCGGGTGCGGCTGTCGAAATCGGGAAAGTCCGTGCCAGCGTCGCTCACTCATAGAGCGCCACTACCCAGGGACAGCGCTGGAGTCTGCCGTCGATGTGGGTGCTTGCCACGGTGTGTGTTCAAAGACTGGTAAGTTTGATTTCAATGGTTCAAAATGGCAGGCAGGATGTAGTGCAAACTTTGTTTTTGGAGCTCATCAGTTGTCACAGTGCAGACTAGTCCCAATGCAAGATACAGGCTTAGAGGTGGCATAGTGCACAGTGCACATTGCAGGCTAGTAGGAAGAGTGAAGGCTGCAGGCTAGGTGGTAAAGTACACAGTGCCCAGTGCAGGCTAGTAGTTCTAGTGAAAGCTACAGGCTAGGCTGCACAGTGCACAGTGCACAGTGCACAGTGCAGGCTAGAAGTCACAGGGCACAGTACAGGCTACTAGGACTGAGAGTGCAGACTCACTTCTGCCTTGCACTTGGCAGAGCAATGCAAACAACTGGGTACAGGTATGATTGCAGCACATGTGCACTGTTGGCAAGTGAAATCCAACCTCTTGGATAAAGGATAGGCACGTTCACAGCACAGTCTAGTGTGGGTAGTGCTAGGTTCGTGTGGCCTCGGAGGCCGATGCACTTGTGAGGTTGGATTTCATTTGCCACCGCTGTACTTTGTGTCTGGTTTGCCCTGCACCTGTCGGGAGTATACACATAGTATTCATACGGTTAAGCCGAAAACAGGATTGAGAAGCCAAGTTTTAATAACATTTCCAGATGGCTACATATTACAGGGATGACTAGTTCCAGGCATTCACTGTGTAAATATCTGTGTACCTGTCCTGTACAGGAGAGGCATGTCAGGCTATTGAAGAGACGTCAGTGACAATACCTTCACCAGCAGGTACGCTATTGTGTAGGCCACAACCAGTGGCGGATCCAGTGATTTCTACAGGGGGGTTCCAGTATAGTCAAAACTGAATAGCTGATGCATGTGCATGAACGCGCATATGGTTGCCAGAAGTACATTTATTAAAGCTAGGGGGTTCCGCGGAACCCCTGGAACCCCTCCTGGACCCGCCCCCTACAATGGCAGTTCTGCATTGAGATTGATTGTATATAATTATACTCCGGTTGCGCCAACCGCATCCCTGTGTTGCCTGCTGATTACATTGATCATGAAACTCAGAGTTGCTACAAACTAACCCTGCTCCACTGTGTTGTACACTCTGCATCAAGAAAGATAACAAGTTGCACATGTTCTGTTCCCGCTGCAAGGCACGCACCGTATGAATACATGACACAAGATGAATACTAAACTGTTAGAAGTTTCCTGGCCTTTGGGGGATCGCAATGTAGTGTTGGAATGGCGGGGGGGGGGGGGGCATTGCCTTTGTGTGTACACCAGTGGGCTCTATGACATCACTGTGCTAGGCATTTGTGGTAAATTTCCACTAAAATCACCGTCATGTCATCCACTCCCGGTTGAATCACAACGCATACAACACATCCCCACCATGAAAAGTGCATGCCAATGAGGATAGTGTGATTAATGTCCCTTCTTTCTCATCCTTAGTTTATTTGGAACTCGTGGCCAGGCACAAGGGTAACATGGGTTCAGAGAATGGGATTTTCGGTCTTCGACCACGTTGTGTAGGGTGTCCCACCAATTAAGGAGCTGCATCTGCACCTTCATCCTTGATGGTGATGGTATTCCTTAAGCGGGATTCACAGAAGCTTTTTTGCGATGCGACACGCGATGCGACAGACGCGAAACCGGGAAAACCCCAAATCGCAGCCATGTCGCACCCCACGCAACTGCCGCAACTGGGCCATCGCAGGCCATCGCAGAAGTTGAGCTTGGCTCAACTTTTGCGATGCGATGCGATGCGACAAGCGATTTGGTGTACGATTTTGACCTTTTCTACAGCAAAGTTGTACAAAGGTGCAAGAGTTGCCTATAAATTTTTACAAGTTGTGTCAAACCGCGCGAATATCATGGTGACGTACCCAAATCAGCAAAACTTTGTCGCATCGCTGACTTCTTCTGTGAATGGTATTTTGCGAGTTCGCATCGCACGCATCCATCGCAGATCGCGTTGCATCACGTGTCGCATCGCAAAAAAGCTTCTGTGAATCCCGCTTAAAGGTTCGGAAATTAACTCTGATGGAATCTCATCATCAAGGGAAAAATAGATAAGCATTGCCTCAGAGTAGCCATCAACCACTATGCATGCTGTACTGTTGTCTAATGAGTGATTCTGTGTGTTACACTGCAGGCCAAACATGCGTGAAGAACATCACAGCATGCGGCTGTGCTGGCTCGTGTGTGTTCCAGCGGCAGAGAGAGGTCTACAGAGAACTGAAATTGAGACCAGATGGTAATGGGACTTACGTCGTTGATAAGGTATGTTCTTTGTTATTGTAGCGTACATGTACAGGGGTTAAGGTGATACCAAGCCTAGTAACCGTCTCTACTCTTTCAAGCCATCCGACCTTCTCTCTCATCATTCTCTCTCTTCAGTCTCTCTCTGCCTATCTCAACCCATCCACATGTTAATCCATCCATGCACACACCTATCCATCCATGCACACACCTATCCATCCATGCACACACCTATCCATCCATCCATTCATCTACAGTCCATTCATTGGAAACTGGCACCCTAACTTTTTGGTGTCTCTCTCACATAGTTGTAGATATCGTGAAAACAACAGTACATCCTGCATTGTGTGACCCGTGCAATTACTCCTTGCCACATTTGAGGCCAGAAAAGTCCAAGAACAGGGAAATAGAAATTCAGCCAGGTTTTAAAATATTAGGACAGGTATGCCATGGCAAAACGTATGGGGAAGCAGACCTAAAACCCAGATTTTTGAGATTTAAAGTGGGTTTTTGATCCTCAATTCGGCCCAAATCAAACTTTCAAAAGCCAGCGGGCCAGTTTCCGATGAATGGACTGTATACATCCATCCATCAATCCGCCATCCACCCTCCCATCTATTCAACCATCCATCTGTCCATCCATCCATCCATCCATCCACCCATCCATCCATCCACCCACCCATCTATCTATCCACCCATCCATCCATCTGTACATCCATCCATCCATCCACAGACCCACCCTCCCGCCCATCCATTCATCCATCCATCCATCCACAAATCCATCCATCCAACCATCCACCCATCCACCCATCCACCCATCCATCCACCCATCCATCCACCCATCCATCCACCCATCCATCCATCCACCCATCCATCCACCCACCCACCCACCTACCCACCCACTCAACCACCCACCCATCCATCCATCCATCCACAAATCCATCCATCCAACCATCCACCCATCCATCCACTCATCCATCCACCCATCCACCCATCCATCCACCCACCCACCTACCCACCCACTCACCCACCCACCCATCCATCCAGCTATCCATCCACCCATCCATCCATCCATCCACCCATCCATCCACCCATCCATCCGTCCACCCATCCATCCACCCATCCATCCACCCATCCACCCATCCATCCACCCACCCACCTACCCACCCACTCACCCACCCACCCATCCATCCATCTACCCATCCACCCATCCATCCATCCATCCATCCAGCCATCCATCCACCCATTCATCCGTCCACCCATCCATCCACCCATCCATCCACCCATCCATCCACCCATCCACCCATCCACCCACCCATCTACCCACCCACTCACCCACCTACCCACCCACTCACCCACCCACCCATCCACTCACCCACCCACCCATCCATCCATCTACCCATCCACCCATCCATCCATCTATCCATCCATCCATCCATCTATCCATCCATCCATCCATCCACCCACCCACCCATCCATCCATCTACCCATCCACCCACCCATCCACCCATCCACCCATCCATCCATCCATCCATCCATCCATCCATCCACCCATCCATCCATCCATCCATCCATCTATCCATCCATCCATCCACCCATCTATCCATCCATCCATCCATCCATCCGTCCATCCATCCACATGTCCATCCATCCATCCATCCATCCATCCATCCACCCACCCACCCACCCATCCGTCCATCCATCTATCCTTCCTTCCTATTATACTGTCATTTCACAAATTTTCGGTGTACTTTTATTTTCGGTACTTTCGGTGGGTCTGTTTCATACCTAAACTTTCAATACACCGAACAAACCTAACAAACATAATCCAATAGGGAACTGCTTGTCTGTACCGAAAATTTCTGCTCACCTAACCTAGCCTGTTGCCCTCATACCGAAAATATTGAGCACCGAAAATTTCGGAAATGAGAGTATACTGTGTATAACTAAGACTTCATACAATGTACGTGTGTTATATGCTATACTTGCTATACTGTTGATGTGCAGGTTGTCCAAACTGGTATCTGTGTTGGCACATGCACTCCTCGCTATTGGCGATCGTTCAGGTAAGGCTGTTCAAATTAGCTAATCGTTGTCAACGTATTGACATGTACTGCCCCCCCCCCCCCCCCCCCCCACTGACGGTATTACTGTCGTGGACATGGTAATCCGGTCTGAGGTCAAACGGCCCAGGACGCTGGCCATGCAGTCGTGAGTACGCATATGATCAACATGTACACTGCATACAACATTCTGTTCGCACTGAGGGTGCCAGCCCCTCCGTCACTTGATCGGATTTCTATGTCCACGACAGTACATGCTGCTAGCGTGGGTTGCTAGATCAAAATGGATCTGATATGCTTTTGTGACTACAGAGATCGGCCATGTACTCTGTGGTGGTGTCTTTACGCACACGACTGAGATAACATGCAAACGGATTCTTGGCTACAACTATTGCTAAATAGCGTTGTAATGACCGCACATCAGCAGACACTACAACACCCTGGGGTCCATTACATACAGTGCTGTTCAATGAAATCCAGTCGCGAGAGTCAAGATGGCGCCGTGCACCTTTTCACAGCCCAGTGTTGGCAGGTCTAGAGCTGCACAACGGCCGTCGCGTACTTGAGACACTCGACTGGATGTCCTAGAGCAGCACTGTAGTTATGGACATGTACGTCTAGCATGGGCTGGTTTGTAATTCTAATGAATCTGGAAATGGTTGCTTGGTGTTTGTCCATGTACAGTCAACTTCGCTTATACCGGCACTCGGCGGGGCATCAGAAAAGTGTCCTTATTCGCGAATTCTCATGATATGTATTACAGTTAGATGTGACTTTGCTCTGGGCATGGAAATTCTGTCGTTATTCGCGAATTGCCGTTATATCCGCAGTCGTTGTTAGCGAAGTTGACTGTGCTGAACAGACCCAACGTGCAGCTTATCATCAAAATCAATACACTCCCATGCACAGTACTTCAGCCAAAAAATGGATTGTGGAGGATTTGGGAATGATCTTGCATCTCGGTCTTGACCATTTGTCTAAAAATGTCGTCACGCACGACAGGTCACCTGAATTGCCAGCCACTGTCACTGCCAAGTTGTTGTTCATCTCCATCGCAATGTGAATCGTACATTCTGGATTTGGTTTGAGAATATCAAAAAATACCGAACACCTAGTTCCAAGATTCATAATATTTTCAAGCAGCTCGAAGCTCTTGGAGAGTACCCTATGAACTGACCTCTTTATTGCAATGGTCTCAAGCTTGCCTGCTGTCGCAATGGTCTCAAGCTTGCCTGCTGTCGCAATGGTCTCAAGCTTGCCTGCTGTCGCAATGGTCTCAAGCTTGCCTGCTGTCGGCAGATTAGCAGTACGAAGAAGCCTAATACAATCTCCTTTAGATTTCCTGACACATCAAGGAGGTTCGATCCAGCTACGATGTTCCATGCAGTTCTGCACTTGGTAATTTCTTGCATCGACACCAGACCGGGTCATCCTTGGACGAGAAGCATTAATTCTGCCTGTCCTTTGACAACTCTTGATTTACATTGGGGAGTTGCGGTATATAGAAAGATGACAAGTTAGGGTAGAATGTGAAAGAATATGCGTGTCATTGCCGCTGTGAAGATGATCGTCAGTCTTGCCTTGAGTCCGGTTGTTTTGTGTCACTTAGGCTACTACGTCATGGCAGGTCAAAGCTATGTTTGAGCACAGATGGCACTAGCTTCATTGTTAATAGCGTGTTGTTGTTGACCATGGATGAAGCAGAACTTTCGAATCCAGGGTGGGCCCTGTGATCTGGTGATTTTTCCCCTTGGATACTGAGACTCGCTGCTAAAACATTACAAGACAAAGGTTGCGATTGGCGAACACACCAGTGTCCAGTGCCCTGGTTTCATGCTACTGTCGTCAATCTCCTGAATAATGATGGTAATGATGGGACGTCGGATTTAGCAACACCAGTTAGGAACCGCATCTGACGCCTGACCCTGGGGTGGTGGCGTCGCACAGAAGCGAAAAAGGCGGTTCTTGACCTGTCCTGTATGCTAAACCATGGCATTTTTTTTATTTCGTAACGTGGAAATGGTTTGGCCACATTGTCCGACAAAGCCCAAACTCTCCATTATACCAGGCACTGATGTTAGCCACTGACACCTCTGACATCAAGAAGCCACGCGGACGCCCCCCCCCCCCCCAATGTGGTGGATCGACACTGTCCGAAAAGATCTCAAGAGTGTCGAACTTACCATCAGCAATGCCCAAACCCAAGGTCATGACCGTAAACAATGGCGAGAAACTGTCAACAGATGCGTTAGCTCATGCTTTGAGTGACATGCGAAACAGTCAATTTTTCTTCAGATTTTTCCCATTTGTCTCTTTCCCTCAAACCAGTTAATTATTATTATTATTATTTACATGGAAAAATGTGGTTGATAAATATGGTGGTAAAGACACACCTGGCAATATGGCGGTAAACACACGCCTGCCCACACACGCTCTCTAGGCTGCAAAGTTCTGGCACAGAGCTCTCCTTCTCACCACCACCACCATCAGTTCGCGCCTGGCGCCTGCTCGATGCATGGCTGGCGAGCAGGCGCCAGGCGCGAACTGATGGTGGTGGCGGTGAGAAGGAGAGCTCTGTGCCAGAACTTTGCAGCCTAGAGAGCGTGTGTGGGCAGGCGTGTGTTTACCGCCATATTGCCAGGTGTGTCTTTACCACCATATTTATCAACCATAAGTACAGCTACAGTGATGTCTTCAACTTCATGGAAAAATGTGGGCACAAGGTATGCGATCGAGTCCACCAACCAAACCAGATTTTGAACAGTCACTTGTGCCCACAATTTTCCATGTTACAATTATTTTTTAATTGGCTAACTATCTGGATTTATTTATTTATTAATTAATTTATTTATTTTTTTGAAACTCGGATGTTGAGCCATAACTAAAATGTACAAAGGAAAAGTAAATATGGATACGAGTTAAGAGTAACTCTCCATCACTGTACTTGTAGCTGGATACTATATTATACAGTCAGAAAGTGCAATAACTAGGCCCAAAACTGACAGAGTACTGAGACATTCGACGTCCTGACACCTAGCTTCAACACATCTCCGTAGCGCTAACCGACAGCCTTCCAACTTGGAAGGTTCAAGGTTGTGGAAAGACCAAAGAGGGGAAGGCAAGCGCAACGAAAACGAGCAAAAACTACAGTCCCAACGGAACAAAGAATGTCGATTGTTACTGGACGATGACGAGACCAGTACGATATTTGACAAAGCGGTCTAACTACAATTCGAAGCAGCAAAGCAGCACACCACCCAACTTGGGTGGGTCATAAATATCAAAGATAAGTAAAGAAAGGGGAAGGTTTGCAAAAACGAATTGTACAAGCCGAAAGCCAAACTCCTACAGTACTCCTCATGCATGACGTTGTGATGGACAAGTTGACTACAAAACAAGTTGTTTCACACGACGTACGTTTCGTCGTATGGTCCGTGACGGCTCATCAGGTGTGCAATTTGAAACTCGGATGTTGAGCCATAAATAAATGTAGAAAAGGAAAGGACATATGGATACGAGTTAAGAGTAACTCTCCATCACTGTAACTGGATGTGTTGAGTTCGAAACAGGACGACTGACGACACATTATCCAGACATTACAACGGGAACAGGTAGGTTGGAGGAACGACATTTATTATAGACGACGAGACAAGAGACCAAGACGAACGAAACGACTACATTGAAGAGTGAGAAAAGAGAGAGCGAGAAAAGAGAGAGAGAGAGATCAAGTCTGAACGGCAAGATAAAGGGCCTGGGTAGCTATGGCAAATATGGGCGCGCAAGTAGCTACCCAGGCCAGCGGAACAAAAGGAGACAAAAGGTGAGTACGTAAGTGCATGCAGGCCAGCTAGAAAAGGTACGGGAGGAGGTACCTAACATACCACCCCTCCATGAAAAAAAATCCCGCGTCCTCGCGGAGAGAAAAAAAAGAGAGAAAAAGATTTTAAAAAAATGAACTGGAGGAGAAAACACACACACACACAGACACACACACACACATACTGCACGCGCGCATGGATCTCACGAAAGTGTGTACTAAAATGCACTCGTACAGATCATTCCTGTACTACTTATTGTGTGTAATAACTATTGGAGTTTGACGAGGAGCGTGAATTACTAGTATTTTGCACGGCTAATACAGCCTAGTTACACTTTTGCAAAACATCCAAAAATTAGAGCGTGGCTCACCATGATCGAACTCCTAACTTGGTAATGTTTTACGAACACACGCGCGCGCGCACACACACTACAAAAAAATTCACGAAAATAAATTTGACGAAGAAGCATACAAAAAAAAGAAAGAGAGAAAGGTAGCTGACCTGCATGGCTTGAACGAGAATAGAGGAGGTAAGGTTGGCGTAGGAGAGACGAGTTTGATAGAGACGAGACGAGGTTGGCATAGGAGAGACGAGACTGACATGGACGAGACGAGGTTGATATAGACGAGACGAATGGTGGTTGAGGACGGCTGGGCATGGGATGATCTCAGGGTCGTGGGTCGATCAATAATCGGGCGCCAATGTTGAGTTCGAAACAGGACGACTGACGACACATTATCCAGACATTACAACGGGAACAGGTAGGTTGGGGGAACGACATTTATTATAGATGACGAGACAAGAGACCAAGACGAACGAAACGACTACATTGAAGAGTGAGAAAAGAGAGAGCGAGAAAAGAGAGAGAGATCAAGTCTGAACGGCAAGGTAAAGGGCCTGGGTAGCTATGGCAAATATGGGCGCGCAAGTAGCTACCCAGGCCAACGGAACAAAAGGAGACAAAAGGTGAGTACGTAAGTGCATGCAGGCCAGCTAGAAAAGGTACGGGAGGAGGTACCTAACAGATGCTATATACAGCCAGCAAGTGCAATAACTAGGCACAAAACTGACAGAGTACTGAGACATTCAACGTCCTGACACCTAGCTTCAACACATCTCCGTAGCGCTAACCGACAGCCTTCCAACTTGGAAGGTTCAATTTATTTATTTATTTATTTATATATTTATTGTCACAACAGGTATGTATAGTTATGCTCACATGGAAGCCCAGGCGTAAACTTGTAGTTACTTGGTCCTTTTATCTTTTTATAGAACAACAACTCATGAACAACGACACATGAACAACAACTCATGAACAACGACACAACCAGACGTCTTGACCATTGAACTGCATACGTTCAACTTCATGAATAGCCACAATCGCGACTGATCACGACACTTTTCTCACGTGCGGTCAAGGGTCGTTTTTCGCAACTTAAATTATAAGCCTACACGATCCTCACTTCAGGTGACCACTCCATGTAACACATAGATTAGTATTGGATTCTTCCCGATAGGTGTCTCCAGAGTTTAATAGCTTCTGGATTGCCTCTAATGAGGAAGTGCCATTGAGTAGACACCCATGATTGATGGTCTGCCCTGCGCTGACTGTTTCGTTACGTACAGTCTTTCTCGACCCATGCTGTTGCCCGGTTTCTGTTGTGCGGAATGCTGCGCCCCAGACGTGGCAGCTACTTTGCCGTACCAGGAACCAAAACATGCAATCTGATGCCCAGTTGTCAGCACAAAGTGCTCGTCCGTATGCTTTTTTAGGAATGCGAATGCGCAAACAAAACTAGTTGGGGCAGGGATTATCCATTATGCTAGTAACTACAGCAGCGAATAACCGAAGCAAGTTTTAGACGTAGAAAGGGAAAAGGACATATGGATACGATTTAAGAGTAACTGTCCACCAATGTAACTAGATACTATATTATACAGTCAGAAAGTGCAACAACATACTGCATAGCAGGAAATTTTCGGACGGAATTTATTTTCGTACGATTTCGTACACGGCCTCTTTTGTACTAAAATTAATTCCTTGCTAAAATTTGTTCATGTGAAATTATGTACACTACGTATACATATGCGTTCTGCTTGCGAACACGTGTATTTAGCATGCAGCACTGTACGAAAATATAATCCGTACGAAAGGTCGAAATTCGGCTTTGTCCGAAAATATTTCCGTCCGAAAATATTTCCGTCCGAAAATATTTCCTGCTATACAGTATCCATACGTACTTTTCCTTTTTACATTAAGAATAGGCTCAACATCCGAGTTTCAAAGCATTAGGCGAGTGAAGAAAATGGACAGCTAAAATTATCTCCCTTCTAGCTCTTTTAGCATTGTCGGATTTCATGTTGTCCTTGTTTTCGAAGATTTTGTTGCTTCTTCCTTCCATTGATTCTCTTTTTTCTCTCAAAACTTTGTATGTGAATAACACTGCAGGACTCGCTGTGTACCGGATTGGCATTCCTACGAAGACTGGTTTGTTGGCCATCATGGAAAGCTGCTCAAAGCGCAAATAGTCACCGGGTGCATTTGCCAATGATGGGAAGTGCATCAGCAGCTTGGAAGAGAGAGAGAGAGAGAGAGAGAGAGAGAGAGAGAGAGAGAGAGAGAGAGAGAGAGAGAGAGAGAGAGGAAGAGAGAGAGACAGAGAGACAGAGACAGAGGAGGGAGGGAGAGCCGGATTCGTGTATGTGAGAGAGATAAAACAATTCGGTGCATTTTTAAAGCTTTGCTACGCCGATTGACTTGCACACTCTACCAGAGGCTGGCTTCAGCCCTCAGATGATCTATCCACTGTACATACTTGTAGTAGAAACCAAGCACCTCTCTAAACACTGCAGTCTTGCAAGCAGGGTTGAGAATGTCTGGTTCAAGGTGCAAAACCTTTTTGATTGTGAGTGTTCAAATGCAAATTATTTGAGTTCTGGACTGGCACCTGTCATGTATTTCGACTCAATGGAGTGCAAACTTGGTAGACAGCCAGATTATTCTAACTCAATGTCACCATTTCTCATGCATTTTCCCGCCCTGTAATGGCGGCTCTTTGTGTGACTACTTACTTGTTGTTGCCATGGTTTGCTTTAACACCTCGCCATGCCAAATCGTTTTGGTCACTGGCTTCTTTGCACCGTGGCTAGTGTACATATGGAAATACATGTATGTAACTTGGTAAATATAGTCATACGGTGGTAGCATCCCACGCTAGTGGAAAGCCGGTTCTTGACCCGCCCTGTACGCAAACCCTCGCATCCTTTTTTTGGGGGGGGGGGCATGTCAGGCTGCTTATACTGCTCCAAGGCCTTGTTTTTAGTGGCAGAACCAAGGCTCCAGCTCCCCGGTGGTGTGTGGCAGCCTATCACTATGAGCCCCAGCACTCAGCATCCGTGAATGTAACAGCAACTCAAACATCCAGAGTGCATCCTGAGCGATTGACTCGAGTTTACGAATTACGACAATGTTACTGACGTTTGGACTCGATAGCCCTGAGAGCCAAGGATTACATTTACTGACGTTTCTTGATGATTGTCTGACTTTCAGTGAAGGCATGTTTCTGTGACAGCCTCAGTGACACAGTGTTCCAGGCAATGCAAATGGGAATTTGGGGATGTGCATTCTCGCCACTCTCCAGTTACTCAGGTAACTTGGGTGCCATGCACAGCCACTAGAAATGCAACACTCAGTGACCTGCAGGGGACAGTCATCATTGTCAGATATATGTACATGTATTTGATGGCTACACACTGTCACAGTGAGAACGGCCTGAGCTGGGAGGCGATGCTTTTGCCTTCTTCTAACGACGTGGCCTGAGCTCTTCTGGCACAGTGGCATGTGATAACTATGGTATGTAATTGTTGACTTCTGCCATCTCCGTGTGCATGCTACCTCCTTTCAGTTTGTCCCGTGTATCACACCATTGTCTCAAGACACGTAATCATTGTGCTTTCCAGTTTCAAGTACATGCGCTAGTACATAGTACAATAGTCGTAGAGTTCTCGCATGGCGTGAGTGGAGCTTATAGGAGTAGGCCGAATATGTTAGTGGTTGGGGTACAGCGCACATATCCAGATCCAGATTCCAGGTCCGAGCTGTCACCAAGACACTATACTAGGGTGTATGCAATGACGTCACACAATGATTTGCTTTCAGGCTAGGTGTAGTAAAGTCAGTGTGGCATACGGCGTGATGGAGCTACATCAGTACATGTACTGATGTAGGTGTGCGATTACATTGTAGTGCAGTCAACACTCAGGACATCAGGTGACTCCTAGAGTTAGATAATAATAATAATGATCGCTGCCACACGCTGCACCTCACACCCTCCCTCGTTTTACAAACGAGTACTAGTATTAAACACATTGGGTTAATTAGCACAAATACGAATACGCACACATACCAGCATACATGTACAACCAGACTCATTACCCTAAATGAATTATTGTGAGAGTACGAGCTACAATGTGGGTCATTTACTTGCAAATCTGTCTTGGGAAATGTCTTGTTCACACCATCAATCAGGCAGCCACTTCTCATGATTGATGCATGCACATTATAGTCATAGGTGGTGACAAACTTGAAGGTGTTCCAAGGGGAGTACATTAGCACCTGCTCTCACCGCGCGCCGGTCTTACATTTACTGAGTCGTCCGTGATGATTGTAGCGGCCACCACAGCTTTCACCAGTATCGGCATGATGAATTCCAAGCCTCATAAAACTTTGCCTTTATAAATCCCGCTTTTCAAGTGCATCTACATGTGCTAACAGTAGTTGAATACAGTAAAACCTGGAAGTAAAGTAAGTAAATTATCGTGTCCGTTCCCGAAGGGAACTCACGACGGCCGCTAACACCCGGTAAACCCTAGCGGCAGATGCAGCGCCTAACGGCGGGGGTGAGTGGGTAAGTCTCGCAACCACTGGCACAAGTGCCGAGAACGACCCCATTAGCTGCATCCATGTACCCCTTATGCCTGGCCACAAGTTCCCAGTTGACTGTGGGTAGCAGCACGGCTGGAAAAACCGCTCCCAGGCAGGACTTGAACCAGGTACCTCTCGTATCTCGATCATGGTCTTTGACCAACCCACTGTGCCTGCCTGGAAAGCCTGGAAAGCGGTCGTTATAGCCAGGTGGTCTTTAGAACCAGGTCCCACAGTGTTTGTGCATGGAAAAACGGTCGTTAAGAGCAGGTGGTCGCTAAACTCAGAGGTCGCTTACACCAGGTTTTACTGTAATGACATGTAAAATCTAGGTTAGATTATGAAAATCGTTCAGAACTATCTTATAGCATCCCTAGCCTTTCATCTCAACGTGAGGTGGGCCCATTGCGGTAATCGCCGCAGGGTGCTACTCTTTCCTCTTCCATCGTGGTGGCATTGAGGAAAACCTGTTGCCTGGGGCAGCAGCAGCGTGCGGGGCTTAGTGCAGCGAGCACTAAATCTCTGTTTCCAATCTCGAGACGGTGAGTGGAGCGGACGAGAAACAAAGAAACATACCTATTGAACCCGTCACCGACTTGCATTCCTGACTCAAGTATTGTACCAGTAAGTCAGAGGGGAGAAGCTTCGGTACCCAGCGGTGCCAGACGAGAACAAACATTGCATTATTGGGCAATTAGCAATGATCACTCCATGTACACCCACAGTTTTGGGCATGCCCTCCCTTAGTGGACCTGGTGTATACATGTACATCTCCATATACACTCGGTCCCTTGTTTTAATCTATACTTACATGTATGGCAATTCCCAGTTCTGGTCACGGAATTACTTGTAGAGTTGGTGTAGTGCACGTGGCTTGGAGAGGAGTCTTTGGTTTGTCAAACCGATATTTCAGAATCTACCAAAAAATATGCATAATTGGATTGGTCGGATTGCTCGGATTCCCAAGACTTGATGATCAAGCAGCGCTTTGCTCTAGCCTAGCCTGGGATTGGGATCACCATTGCACAGTTAGCACATACCTTATGCAGTTATGGTGACCTCATAACTTACATTATATGTCGCGGAGATCACACTCCTAGGTGAATCGCCACTGATACAATGTAAGTACAACTTAGTCATCGTCCAAGCTGACCAGTCTTTGTAGTGATCACGGAGTTACTATGCAGTTCCGTGTATTGTACTGTGCATACAGGATAACAGGAAGGTCCCTGCTTCCAGTCCTGGTCGTGACAGTCAATTTTTTTCTTCAGACTTCTTCCTTTTCCATTCCCTCAGGCTCTCAACCTATGAATACAGGATAACATTTTCCATTTCTGACTTTGACGCTTTGAGCGAATACGAATTGAACAACTGCTTTGTTGATCCAAGAGGGTGGTGGCGTTCCTGCGGATGCGGAAAACTGGGCCTTTGGCCGAGTCTCACGCGAACCGTGAAATTTTTTTTTTTGTTGTTGTTGTTCTACTCTTCTTTGCGATCCGTGTTTCTCATCGTCCTGAGCTCTGCCAATGCAGAGACCTAAGAATGCCAAAGCAGCTAGGTGTCCAGTGATTGTGTGGCTCCCAAAGTCTTTCTGGCCGCAGGCATAGGCGCACAACTATCGGGTGTTGAATCTTAAAGCAAACGTTTTGTAGCGTTTGAAACCGGTGGCCCTTTCACCGGGAGTATGATCAGCAAAGAGTAGTAATATTACTCCCTGAAGCCAAGTCAATATTCTCGATGAAAGTACTTTTTTCTTGTAAAAAAAGGAGAAGGTGTACTTCGCTGAAACTTCGTATGCTCTGCTCTGCAAGAATACAGGTTGAGCGAGCAGAAATAATCCCAGCATTGTATGGTACTGAAGTGAAGGCAGACATTTGAGTCAAGTTTCTCCAGCACCACTGATAGAGAACAGCAAAATAAAAATAAAGCAAGGTTTAGAAGACAGTGGTTCAATGCTCAGATGTTGCTTTGGAGTTTAAAAAAATAATAGCATGTGGTTTTAGTGTGCTAAACAAAATCTAATCTTTGCAAATCTATCCGGTTGCCATGGGGATTGGGGAGGGGCAACCATGGGCGCATGACGTCTAGAACAGAAGAAGACATAATATCCCGTGTTGGTGACATCATAAATCATTGCGGCTTGGGGTTATAGTGTTGTTCGGATATGACTCAAGGTGCGCTCACTGTGGGCAGTGCCACGCATGCTTCAAACAAAACGAAAAATCTGAAATAGTCCTGTCGGAGCAGTGTAGTGTTGTGTAGGGGTTGGGATATTAAAATGATGACGTCATGGATACTGATGCGTGTGCTGTGGTGATGTAATGCACGCAAACAGGATACGATAGAAGGCTGTTTGGCTGTGGCTCAGACTTGCATCCATAAGCGATCGTCAGACAGCATGAGGATGCGGGACATGTAGTCGATGAGTGGTCACGGATCAACTACAGCCACATTTATCGACAATGACTTGCTCCAAGGAGACAAGTCGCACCGACTTTCCAAGGCTGTCGGAGATGAGAATATTGGGCGTCAGTCCCTCTTTATATGACATTGGAATACAACACTCGCCCTGCTTCAGGTTTGGATCAGCCACGCCACCGTTGCGCACATCTCGTAGTAATGTGGCGAATTTATTAGCTGCTGGCACTGCGTTCGTGCAAGCCCCTGCACACGCTGTCAGGTTGATGAAAGGTGGATTGTAGCGAAGATTCCTATTCTGGGATAGAAAGCTGAAATAGAGCGTGAACTCAACTGGCCTGCACAGAGGACGTGGCTGCGATGGATCGTTGCTGAGTAGTGCGTCGCTTTGATCGAGCGAATTTACAGTTGCATTCGATTCAGAAGGTGCTTGTGATGGTGACGGTTGGGTTCCCATTTCAGACTGATTAGATCTCTGTACTCCCTGCTGAGGTGAGGTAGTTGAGTCTGATAACTGGCTATTTCCGGTGGAGACGAACGAGGTAGTTGACATGTCATCGATGGTGTTGCTATTCTCCTCCACGCTGTTCCTCTTTTCTCTGCCACCAGTGCGGTGTTGAGAATCACGTGATGGGTTGGAGTCACCGACAATATCTCGTATGCTTTGCGGTTGTCGTTTGTAGAATGTTAGGAAGAAGGGCTGGGTGCTGAGAGGAGCATCTTCTTTGGAAACAGGTTGCTGTTCAGTCGGACGCGGGGAATGCGATCCGTGACATATCTGCAGGAAGGCGGGCCGTGCTCGCTTGAATGCGAACTGCAGAAAACTGTTTACCCGACTGAGATCAATTAGGAGCCACGGCTGAGATGCTAGGGCCTCTGGGCGCGTGTCAATGACGGATCTCCCCATATATCTCCTACTCAAGGGCCGGTGGGCTCTGCTGGTGCGAGGAAAGTGATGGAACATGGTGATTGTCAGGTTTTGGCCGTACTCGGACTGCTGCTGATGATGCTGCTGTTCATCCGCTGACGAATCCCAGTGTAGCCGTGATAGGACGTGCTCGACACGTAACCAGACCTCAGTCCGTACTAGTTCTTGTTCCTCCTGAGTTTCCGTACTGGCTTCCTGCTGTTGTTCGCATAATTGCCCTTCGCCGTACTGACACGCATCTAGCGTGTACACCGCACAGTTGCCACCTGCAGAGAGACAGGTCAAGAATAGCAACTTGTCAGTAACACGCTAACATTCCGGCTATTATCTATCCTAATAATGCCTGTGTGACATTCTAGTAAACATGATTTACTAGTAGTAGTGACTGGAGCGTTGAGAGACTGAGAGAGACACCCTCAGAGCTGTTTACACCATGAACGGGGGATCACGCTGGAAGCACTTGATCTGTTTCAATGCAGGCACTCGCAGAGCTATGCACCAGCACAGCACACTGCGTACCGCACTGCACAGCACACTGCAGAAGGCAAGCACAACGACGTAGCAAAGAGGAAACCGTGGGTAGTTCTTGTCACACTTGATTAGTGCATAGTGGCGCTGATCTCCAGTCTTTTGTTCTCTTTCTTCTCAGACACGCCGAGACACAAACGGTACACGGGTGACTAGAGTTCCGCAGTGTTCCTAGACATCCACATTGACATGCCTCACTTCTCTCTCAGGTTTCTACGTTAGCATAGAGGTACCAGGACAAACCCGACCCTCGCGGAAGTCATTGACAAACTCAGAAGCATGGAACAGGAATAACACTACCATTCCAACCTGCAATATTGTACATCCGCTATGGCCAGTTTGGATAGTAGTAATAGATCGATGTTTGAGCATGCTCAGTTACGAAGGTGACGCCTCACTTGGAATACTTTTACACTTTCTAACAAACGGAGTTCGTTGAACAGAACCATCATACAAAAGGGCATATCATCATGGGGAATTAACCCGTTTTCCATTCGTGAAGTATTCGAACAAGCGTCAGAATCAGCACGTATCTCAAGTGTCGTGCTCTCGTGCCTTCACCCTGGACAAAGCGCAAACTCTGCTTGTCCCATTCCGGCAAACTAACGATCTACGCTCATGAGCCTGGAAAGTCACGAACACACATAATTATGGTTATGAAAGCCTGTAGTGGGGAGGGGACAGGCACAATGATCACTCTATTAACTCGCATTACCAGCACCACACATACACTGATTGCTGTGTCTGTGTGACATCTCTGAGAATACCTTAATGAGATAATGAACCCTAGTTTAGCCTGGTCAAGTGTGCGAGATCGGGTTCTCTCTGCTTTCTAAACTCGTCTCAAGTTGCATGAAACTCACCTGGTGACGGAATTGCTCGGTCTATCGCGTGGTTTTCAATGTAATTTGTGGCGTGGAATTGGCTCTGCGGGGAGTCCATTGTCTCAATCCGTGTACTGCTGCGATGTTTGTTCAGGCAGCCCGTCACCGACAGCATGCGGCCCGCAGCTGGTCGGTCGCTTGATGCTTCGCTACCTGTACCACCTGCATTTCCAGAAGAGCAGAGTTCATCCGTGACGCCCTGTCTCTGTTGAATGATGGCGGCCGCAGAAGACTCTGAAGTTTCGACGTTAACTCCATGTCTGCTACATACCACTTGATCTGTACGCAATACTACTAAACAGAACAAGATGGTGAGGCTGAGAGAATCCATTTCCGATCTAGTTACTTCAGCAGATTGTCCGCAATCTGTTCCTGAATCTGGTCAAGGCTGAGCCTAATATACACATCTCAGCAGTTGACTTTACTGATGCGAGCCTTCATGCCATTGAGCAGTCAGTCAGTCAGCTGCTTTGTGAGCTCTCTCAACCTAAGATCGAGCTGCTTCGCTCGCATGCTCATGTTCTCGACACGTGCATCGGTGAATCATTGAATGCCATGTCCTTACTGACGCTACCGTTGTCGTCCACCACCCTCAGCCAGCATTCTAAAGTTAAGGCCTACTTTTCACCTTTTCCGTGTCATCTGGGCTAGCTAGCTGCTGCTTGAAATCTGCCACGTTCCATTGGAATAGCTGCCCAGACTCCCAATGGCAATGTCACTTGCATTGCATAGCATGTCATGGTGCTACAGTATGCACCCACTATTACGACACACACGTACAAGCGGTGGATGATGAACCCCGTTCAGGTGCTAGTATGTGGCACCAAAGCTCAACTCTTTCTCTTTCTCCTTTGTCCTCTTACACTCTAATTCTTTCACCTCATCAGTAGTAATTGTATCCCACTTCAAGTCGAAGGGTCTTCGCATCAGTTTGAAGGGCCAAGTTTGCAAGTCGATTCTTCGGGGCACGGAAGAAAGGAGAAGGTGATGACGCTGGGCCTGCCACCATGCACAACTCATCACGGATGTATTCCAAGCCATCACCTGCTCCAACCTGGAGCGCTCAGTTCACACAGGTGTACAACTCGGATTTGGACCACGAAAGTACAGTAACCGAATACGGGAACATAAATACACAAGTTAGGAAAGGAAGAGAAGAGACCCAAACACGCGCACACACACACACACACACACACGCACACACACACACACGCACACACACACTCACACACACACACTCCCACACACACAAACACACACACGCACACAAACACACGCGCGCGCACAAGTACCGAAGTGGGCACGTAGGGCAAGGATGCATCCATAATTTGCCACAAAGACATTATGTGACCTTACTTGACCGTGCTCAAGATACGTGCAACGACCGACATTGCATAAACAAGGACCGACATTGCATCAACAAGGCCACATCACTGACAACAACCACAAGAGCACTAGGCACTTCTCCAGCCCTCCGCCTCCGGGACGCCCTGAGGCAATGGCTCACTTGCCGTGCGCATGCAGCCCTGATTAGGTCACATCGGCCTTGGCGTAGGGTGGTGTATGGGCCTCACCATTCCAGGATAGCACAATGGCTGTGCCACAGGGCCACCCACACTCACTCTGCACCTCCGCACTACCGGAATACCGTGATCATCATGAGGTCCTGGGTGTTTGTTCGAATGGACGATGTTGATTAGAACAGTACAAGAATGAGTGCTGTTATGAATACTAATTATCATGATCTGGGGACTGGGCGTGTTATCAAATTTAATGCCATTGTCACACTGATCATGCTGATCAGACCTGTAGAAGTTGTAGAATACTGATCACCACATCATTGAACAACTTTGCATATTTTGTGATTGACCATGCACTCGCCTATCAACGTTGCCAGCCCACTCCCCGCAATACAATTCAACTAGATTTCCACGGATTGCAAGGATGAGCCACATGACTGTACATGTATCGCAGCGTGGCGAATGGGATCGTGCACATGTTTCAGATGCAATCCAGTTGCAGAGGAGCAACATTGCCATCCACAACGTAAATCACCAAAATGGTACACCCAGCGAGCAAACACAGCTCAGACAACCGTTGTACTATCTGAGGTGTGTTTCAAATCTTTATTCTCACGATAGCCAGTGGCCAATAAGAGATAATAGTGTAAGAAAGGAGAAAGAAGGTGGTTGTTGTTGTTGTTGTTGTTGTTGTTGTTGTTGTTGTTGTTGTTGTTGTTGTTGGTTTCTATTTTTACTTCGCACATTCAAACGGGATGACGACCCAATATGAAACAGGTACATGTGTTTTTCATTCTTTTGTGTTCTGAACTTCCAACCAACTTCGTCCTTTGCGTAGCAGTTGTGTTGTGGTGGACTGATGGTTGATGAAACATGATCGCATGGACTGCTTGAACGGTACTCATTGGTACGGGTGATCAGTGGTATTTACATTGCCCATCTACACTGTTCTGCGTAGGCAAGAACCAAAAGTCCGGTTTGTAGAGTTCACCTCAGGAATATTATACCGAAATCAGTAACGTTTCGGTTGTTTCAGTTTTCAGACTGATACCAACTAAACAGCCATGCATGCAGAACTACCAACATGCATTGCTTAACCTATCTGAGTGCTCGGTGCCAACGCAACTCGCTGTGAACTCGAAGAAATATACGGCGCGAAAGCATGAGAAATGCCTGAACCAGAGACTGAGCTCTGGTTTACATAACGTCGACTTTTCGGCCGATGCTTCTTCGACACCGATTGGGACATGAAATCGGCCGCCTGTGTCGTACTCAAGTCAGACTGCCTGGTCTCACACCTATCTGGACGTTACTAGTAGATGTAATTCTCTTCAAGCGTAGTGCCCCCAGGTAGACTCCTTCACCTCTTAACAGCCTTCTACGCAGCTTCTTTTGCAATACCTAATGGCATCACAAGCAGTCTCTAGTTTCTTCGTCTAAACTTTACACTGACTCACGCTACTAACGCTGTCTGGTGTTCACGAGCTGTTCGTCGCTCTGGAAACTGTGAGCGCGTCTAGTATAAGTTTGTAGCATCCCTGACTACGGAGGAATGTTGGGGACCAATTAGTGGGGCGATCTGATCAATGATATCGCCACACTATATCTACAGCATCTCGCAGCTCCACAACAAGTCGATGATCGCCCTGCTGCTGCCACTGCTGAATATGCATCAAACCCTTCCCACACCGACACGCCACAGGAACCTTGGCAAGTCACAGTGCTCAATACCTGAGGAGGAGTGCAATTGTGTGATGTCCGAGGACTACAGGAACATGACTGCACATACGAGTGTTCTTGTATTCATTGTAATTGATTTTAAAGACTGCTCTATGCACACTGGGGGAGTGCTGAAGCGAATGCAGACTGCCTGGGAAACGGTAAAAGATAATTGAAAAGTACGTTGTACTGTACTGAACAGTAGAGTAATTCTATCGGCAATACTAATACTAATAGCTGGTGCTGATAGCCACTGCACTGACACACGGCAGGGGTGCAACGCAGCAGGGGCCCCGCATAGCTTACATGTCATTTGAATAACAATAACAGAGGACTAGGTATAATGTCCTGGTGCTGACGTGCAATACGCACACAGAACACGCGTGGTCCCTGTTATCACAGGTCTCTCCGTGAACCAGTGACACTGACAGAACTGTACTAGGTAAAGTCTGACATTGCAAGACAATTGTACCCATGAAGCAGTGCTATCGCTACCTTGCCCGGACATGTGTCGACCTCATGCGCCAGAGACACGACATGGACCTCCTAATGGCGACATGTCGAAACATGTATCAGAGGACTACCAACAATTACAAAATGTCACACTCACAGTGACACGAGATACCATGCCAGGTCAATTGAGATCAGTGCGGAACCTGCCACAAAACGAAACACAACCCGAAATTCGGATATTGGCCCAATACCACAATGACACCACTGTAACTTATGCAGTCAGAAAGTGCACAAAACTGACTGAGTACTCAGACATCCCAAGACCTGGCTGACACCTGAATGTAGCTCTAACTTATCTCCGAAGCGCTAACCAATACTAGTGTAGCAGCCTTCCAACTCGCAAGGTTCTAGGTTAAGTTCGCTGTGATTATCGCAGAACCTAAGTATGGTTCATTGCAATGGGTTCGCCAGTCACTCTGATCTCCGCTCATCAGACCCGTAGTGTACATGTAGCAAGGACGAAACAGTTACCGGGTAGCTGTCCGGAGATTGAGCATTAGTACATGTCTGACACACCCCTTGCCTTGGCCCCCTTTGGTTGAGCACTCTGCCTGGTTAGCGTCAATGTTCCGCTTTGTACATTCATTTTGAATGTATTCTTTTCATCATGTCACTCAGCTCTTGGTCCATGACCAATTCATTGTTGGCATAAACCGTGCGAGAGAGGAGCAATAGCCAACCATGGCAAGAAGGAAAAGAAGGAAAAGAAAGAAAATGGAAAAGGAAGGATAAACAAGCAGGCAGCAAAGAGAGAGACTATTGTACTACATTCCGTGCAATGCAGTCATGACCAAATATAGTCTGGCACTGGCTGGTTCTGCCACTGTCTGTATGACCGTTTGTCCACATGGTTGCCTCCCTGCCATGTATTTTCGCTTCTCTCATCCTAGCCATTCAGCACAAACTACACTGCAACATGGAAACAGTGGTTAGAGCATCGCTGGCCTCAAGCGAGGGTCCCTGGTTCGAGTCCTGGTGGTGACAGTCAATGTGTTCTTGAGACTTTTCCCGTTGGCATCTTTCTCTCAAACCAGTAAACATGGAAACAATAATAATGATTACCCACAACATGGCTTCGGTCAGCAATCATTATCTGAACGATCTGGAAGTAAGCCTTCCATACCCGTGTTTTTATACGGTGTATACGTGCATGCGGTAGGCTCCGACGGATTATGCTCGCGGAATCATGGAATTATGGTTTCATGGATTCTCGCATTATGCTCGCAAAATCCTCGTATTATGCTTTGGCACGCGGGGATGCATATTCACTTTGTTGTACTTATGGAGCCTCAACGTTCGGAAAATTGTGCCTTTTCGTACTTGTATTATTATTATTATTATGAAATGACCCAAAGGCAATGTGCCTATGGAGGGGTTCATTTGTGGCCATACATGTAAGTACATCAAAATGTTACATGAATATCCCCATACCAAGATGCCCATGCATGCCAGAGATCAACATGGAAAAGAGAAAACATTACGTCTTCAATTCATTAGTTGGCTTCTTTTGTAAAAAGATTTTTTCATTGCCAAATTTGTTTGAGTTACCTTTGAAAATTATCGTCTTCAACTGTCTTCGTAATCGTCATACTCGTCCAACCGATGGCACCCTCACCCCGCAATAACCAGCTCAACTCCCCCGTAGCTCCACTTCTCCTTCCATCATGACCAAACATCAACAATACCTCAATGTTTTTTAAATCATTAGAGCAATATCCATAGCCTGCACAGTCATGGCTGCTAAAATCCAGAGGTCATGACTTCGTAACATGCATAATGTAAATGTACGCGGAGTTTTGCGAACTACCCGTCACTATCTCGTCCGCCCCGAGATACCTGACAAAGGCTGATTCACTCGTATCTTCTGCTACATATACTGTATCAGTGTGAGAAAAAACGTTGAAGAAGACGAGTTCGAGCACACAATAATGTATTACCATGATTTCTACCCTGATTTTCATTGAAAACACTATCTGAAATCAGAATGACCTCCGAACACTTTACTATGCAGACACCAGCACTGATCAGGTGCATTGTACACAATTGTGTAGCCTACCAGATTATAATAGCTATGAAAAGTATGAATGCCGCAGACATCACCACGCAACATGACAATTTGTTCAAGGTTTTGTTTTGTGTGTTTCCAAAATCGATTTTCACGCTCCGATCATCAGTGGAAATACGGAACTAAAGAGATCAAGGGAAAAACAAAGGTTAAAAATCCAAAGAAGTGTGACACATGACGGGTAACTTGTGGTAAGTATTACAAAAAGTGAGAACTAAAATAAAGAGTAAGTGTGACAAACGGGCATGAACAGTGCAGAAACAACTCATGAACACGGGGTGCAAACTCACGAAAATAACCTAAGTGCTAAAACATGTTCTTTTTGCTTACACAAATCGGGCTTATGCGTACGAATACAAATAGCTTCAAGGACCTTCAACTGCTGGACATAACGGGCACGACACAGTACAGAGAAGTGGGAATCATCATACACACTCAAACAATCGGGACGAGATAACAAATGCAAGTACACAGCTGACTTCTTACGAATTTCACCCTCATCAGCTCCATCACCTTCCCTGCCACCTGACTCCTCCTCGTCCGTTTTATCACCATCATCACCAGCCGTCTCATCGTCATCCGCCTCGTCGTCATCCGCCGCCTCGTCATCACCCGCCTCGTCGTCATCTGTATCCTCGCCGTCATCCGCCTCGTCGTCATCTGTATCCTCGTCATCCGCTGCATCATCACCCAACTCATATTCACCAAAAAGAACATGTTTTAGCACTTAGGACCTAAGTAAGTTAGGTTATTTTCGTGAGTTTGCACCCCGTGTTCATGAGTTGTTTCTGCACTGACAGTCTGTTCATGCCCGTTTGTCACACTACTGACTTACTCTTTATTTTAGTTCTCACTTTTTGTAATACTTACCACAAGTTACCCGTCATTTGTCACACTTCTTTGGATTTTTAACCTTTGTTTTTCCCTTGATCTCTTTAGTTCCGTATTTCCACTGATGATCGGAGCGTGAAAATCGATTTTGGAAACACACAAAACAAAACCTTGAACAAATTGTCATGTTGCGTGGTGATGTCTGCGGCATTCATACTTTTCATAGCTATTATTAAACTTTTATCTCCACGTAGATTATTTCTACCAGATTATGCTCCAAATTTTCAACCACCAAATTATCCAATAATTATGCCGGCATAATCCGCCGGTGCCTAGCATACGTGTGAGGAGGGGATTTGATTTGCCATTCACGTACAAAATGTGATGGTGTGGGTTCAAACCTCAAACCTCATGCGATCAGGGCTTCGCTGCGCCCTGACCACATCTAAAATAGCACAGACGCTGCACCGCGGTATCTCAGTAGTACTGTGCTGACAGAAGATTGTAATGTTGCACCATTTCCATCGCCGTTGTAATATTGGGCAAACCTGCCCGTTTAGTTTGTGATGTTCAATGAAAACAAACAAACAAACAACAACAACAACAACAACAACGACAACACACATATGCACGACACTGAGCGACGGTACTGACGTTCTACAACTAACTGGCTATCAGCTCTAGCAGTCCTTGGGTGCGCACAGAGCATCACCCCCAACGTCCTTCACCGCTGAGACTTTCAGCTCGTGCTTTTCTTGTTTGCACTCACCTCCTTCCCTCCTTTGTTATCATAACACTTAGAACCTTCCAAGTAACAATACATAGGTGGAGTGCTCATCCAAGGCGTTGTTAGCAACTTTTGAGCTTTTTATGAAAATATGGGTGCGATTTCAGCAACTCGCACTTGTTTTGCACGCGAAAAGCATGCGAAAGATTATGGCATCTTTGGGAAAGGGCCGGCTAAATCTTTAGTTTAGCTTAGAGGTTGATGCTTTATTTATATTTTAATTTCTGTCTGATTTTTCGGTTCTGAAAAATAATTTTAAAATGCAAATAATAATTATAATGTTGCAAGCCTACATCATGGTTTCCCAGATAAAAAAAAACTGATGTTACTTTGGCGCCTCTGCTCGATCTAGCTGTACTAACTGCACAATCATGCCGTTATCAGTATGCGCTGCTACCCCGGGCGGCCACTGGCACTGGTGCTATTTAGTATTTTGCCATACTACATAGGCCCATGGCCATAGTGATCAACACTGACAACAGGATCGTGTTGGGTTGCGCCCTGTCGTGTCGACATGTCGTCCAGTGATGCACACCCGAACTTTAGCACTCCAGTCCACATGGTCCAGGCGCTACGGACACAGCGCTTTGCGGACGTCCAAATAGTGCTCAGACCTAGGCTGACTCAGACTGTCTCGCTAGCTGTTCAATGAAATCAATCATCTTTCGTTTGCAGGGCCGGAACGACAGGGTTGGTTTTTGTTCCTCCTCTCGAATATCCTAGAGATGTAAACATCACCAAACAGTACTAACTGGAATAATGACGGTGGGTTCAAGGTCGACTACGGTTATCCTCCTCGGCTGCTTGCTATGCATGTGTTATGTTAGTTTCGTCGAAGCAACTACAAATGTTCCACCCGACGCCAGCGACGATGAGCTTGCGGACTTGCTTGAAGCAGCCAGCTCCAATTCAGACGATGGCCTGCTGAACGCATGGAAGACGGTGACCTACGGGGAGAGGCAGCCAACCAACCGGCAGAAGCACACCGCTAGCTTAGTGCGAGCACCCAAGGTAAGCGCACTGCCCCCACTGCTCTGCTAGCGTCGGAGCTTCACCACTCTCCAGACCGTGACAAGGTTGATTCATTTGGAATAGGAAACTATAACATTAGTTCATTGTATTTGCGCACTGGATTGTACTGGACTGGTTGCCCGTACTCCGTAGCCCGCCTCCGTTGTTGCCTTTGTTGTGGACTCGCATCAAATCCTGGTCCGGTAACAGCTGCTTCCCGGGGATGTAGAGGGGCCTACTATTACCATTACGTGCTAAGTATCTTCGGGAATGTTTGTCGTGAACCATATGAACGCCTTCGGAGGCTTCGCCTGGAAAGTCCCAGGAATTATGTATGGCCTATAGGTGTCAATCGTGACTTTCTTTGCTCGGGCTCCTGCAGTTCACTCAACCCGTGTCCACGCCTAGTTCTTGCGTGCTTGCATCTTGAATATTTTCTAAGCTCAAGACTAGTAGGTGTAAATCGTATCACCTCTGCTGTCTAAGTGGTGCAATACCAAGGTTGGGCAAAAGCATGACACGCACAGGTCTAGAGCATTGTTTCAGGGACAAAGTCTACTCAAGGGTGTATTGTGGGGCAGAAGTGCAACACCCAAACGGATCAAGTACATTAGACCAAATTTCCATGTGGGGTCTCACTGATTATCTGGGACTGGAGCAGGCCAACTCTGACACCTGATGTGTTGTTGGTAAAGTTACGCAGTGTTCACAGCCTGACCTCACTTCATCCACATTCCCTTCATCCTATTCTCTAACCAAATGCGTGTACATGTATATGGTTGGTATTAGAGAGATCAAGATGCACGTTATATGTATTTCCGATGTGACGCGCAAGTTCACGTCTACCTTGGCGTAAAACTCCAAATTTCGACGTGAGCTGCAGGTCACTCGTGTTGTTTCTCGACGCGCGAGCCAAATAACGCGAGCTGAACGTTCGTGTCACGTCAGAAATAAGGTGCATTTTAACCTCTCTAATGATGTGTGCTTCGAAGTAGTTTTCTTGGAGGTAAAATACAACCACGGTTTTAAAAGAAGAGAATAAACCTCAGGCTCTTCTTTGAAAAGCAGAATATTCGAAGGTTTTCCACACCAATTCTTCTTCCATGCCTTGGTGCATCACTGGTTGAATGCAGATAAAAGCAACGGAACAAGGTCACAAAGAGTATTATTGGTGCAAGAGAGAAGTGATAGAAATGTGCCAAGTGCAGCCGGAATTTGAGAAACAAAGATGCCATGTGGATAATTGGACCACCAAGACGCTATAGCTGCAAACATTCCTGTAAATAAATAGCATGTGCCAACATACGACAAGCAAGTGTGAAGTGCTTGGCCACATACATAATATAGGCCTCGAGATACAGTATTGTGAGGCCCATTGCCATTGGTGTCTGACTGGAAAACTTTCACTGTGGACAGAATCATTGATGGTGCAAGCCAGTACATGACGTTTAGAGCCTAGGGTTAGGGTTAGGGTCGGCCTCTCAATGGAAATAATAATTACGTCTGGGCATGTATGAGACATGCTTATCGTGCTGTGGAAAGCCCTGGCCATGGACGTCAGATCATGTGTGCAGTACCTGTAGACAGGCACTGGTGAAACTGACCCATGGCATTTGCACATGGTCTGGCAAAGCGACTACAGTAACTTAGGGGCCGTCCGTAAATATCGATGTTTTTTTAGAGACGATATTGGTGCGTCTGGGGGGGGGGGGGGGGAGGGGGTTTGAGCCATGTGCGTCTTTTCGAGCATCAGAAAATATCGATGTAAATACGGAGGATTAGCAAGACGAAATTCGCGTTCGCGTTCGCAAACATTTTTCTAATAGCGAACTGGATTGCGAACTTTCGCATTTTTCGTTCGGAAAAGTAGTCGGAACACGAATCGCGGATTCGTGTCAGGACAGTCATAAATTTACTACGCTATACTGTCTTCAGACTCTGACGACGTGTCAACGTCATGCATGTGCGAATTCTGTTTGCTAATCCTTCTCATAACGCGAATTCCGTCACTGAGTTCGACTTTCCTTGGAGAGCGAACGCGAACGCGAATTTCGTCTTGCTAATCCTCCGTAATATCTGAAGTTTCGCCGATCCCTGCACGCGGACGTCTAAATGGCTATACAAGAAATGTGAAACCAGCTTCCGTTCGCGGAGCTAAAACTCGCGACACACGAACAAAATCAAAAATTGGAAGCTGTACGCCCATGGCGAATTTCAAGAGCAAAAGAATGAGCTATTGATTGTGGAAATCGGCCGAACGATGCCTGCAGGAGACATTTTTCAAGACGTAGAGGCAGTGCGAACAAACACGGACGAACTCCACAAGAGTTTCCAGTCTTCACTGTCTGAACAAGGATTTGAAAAAATGAGCATCCAAAAATATTGATTCCATGATCTAGATGTACATGTGCGTCTTCTGGGGGGAGGGGGTCAAGGGAGAGAAGCACCAATATCGTCTCTAAAAAAACATCGATATTTACGGACGGCCCCTTAGAGCTATGAGGAGTATTTTTTTGTATTGTATTGTATTATATAATTTTACTGGGGCATTCCCAACAGACCCAAAGGTTTTCTTACAGGGTGCCTAAGTATAATGGATGCAAACATCTCTAATCACCATTGCACCCGGATGTGGGTTGAAGTACAATAATTATTTATATTCCAGAATTGCAATTTTCATATTCTTCCCCGTTTGTCGTAAAAACAGAACTGACGTAGTAACCATCGATTAACATTTTGCTACTGAAAATGTGACAGAAACGAGTTGGTAAACATTACACCACTTGCAAGAAAGATAGAGGTTAATAACCATTATATTTATTGTTTGTGTAACAAATGTACGTACAGCATTCATGAGGTGACATAGTGAGTGATAACAGTCTGTAGTGGCTGTAGGCACAGACGTGATTTGCAGACCTATGAAAACAATTTCAGGTCTGCAACATGCTTCCTCTGTTTACATAGGACATAGAACAGGCTTGTGCAAACGGATAGAATCAGCTTCCAGAACCTCCCACTGCTTTCCATAACTAGCACGACACAGAACAGAGGAGTGAGAGAATTATACTCCTTCAAACCGTCGGGACGAGATATTAAGTGACAGTACAACGCTGAATTCTTGCAAGTACCACGCTCATCTGCATCGTCTTGATCCGCACAGTCTGACGTATTCGTCTCTCCATCGCCATCCATCTCCTCATCATCAGTAACAGTCATCACCTTTATAATCATCATTACTATCACTATGGAAATGGCCTCGTGTACGGGCTTGAAACGGTGATAATCGAGATTGTGTGCAAAAATCAGGGACAGGTCAAGCAGTCAAATCATCAGATAGATATTCAAGTAAAAATATGACATTTAACAGTTGAATAATTCGTAGCAAGTAGATGTTCAAATGCTGATTATTTTACCGGGTAGATATTGGAGGACAGATGATGTTACTTTACCAAAATAGTTATTTAAGAAATGTGATGTTATCCACAGAAATATTGTTGAGAGGCATAGCCTAAAAATTCACTATGCAGCCAAGCGACACTGAGCCACAAAAGAATCCCCCCCCCCCCGTCTGTTATAATTATGACCCTCGGCAGCTACGGAAGCCAGTAATGGCCCACCGCAAGAGGCAAAATGACAGGCGGGTATGCAACATACCCATTACAACAGGATATTTCACATCCTGGCTTCTCTCTACGAAAATATAGGCAAGAGACTTTATAAAGGCCTGCTGAAACCATTTGTCGAGAACACCAGTGGGGTGAACGATCCTCGCTTGACATTCACAATGCGGCTGGCATATGGATCCTTTTTCGCCCGTTCATGGGACTTCAGCTGACTCAGGGCTTTTGATCGAGACAACACGGACGCTGCGGGATGGGTAATCCGCACAGAAAAAGGGTCTTGTTGCCTCTACCAAAAACTCCGAGCTCGTGCGTCAAGACGAGCTTCAGCACTCCTGTTAAGCAAACACCCTCCTGGTAGATCCTCATCAAAGCACTGCAGCAATCTAGGCTCTGTCTCGACGTCAACAACACCTGCCTCTCTCAGGAGACTGGCGATAAGGTCTCTAACCTTGTGCCGTGCGATAGTGTATCCACCAAAAGCGCAGGTGAGAGCGTGTGCGGGACTGCGATCCACTCCACACACGCATTTCTCAGGCAAACCACTCAATCTATGACCGTACCGGATGCATAAAGCATCCCGGAAATCCGATTTCTTCAAAATTGTTCCATCCTGCCAGCGGGGAGCGACCGTAAGCCACGACGACAAGCCCTTCTCATTTGAGACTTCTACCAAGAACTGTTGCTCGGCAGTCAAGCACGGCTTGATATCGGCTTGGCGACGACACACATCCCCAATCCTGGCCGCATGCGTTGCCCTTGCTATGTGCTGTGCACACTGCATCCCACTGCATCACGAACCGGATCATGTGGCAAGATTAATTGATCCGGATTCGCCAGCACACCAATATGTCCATCAGGCTGTGCGATTCTCTCCTGGGCTTCCATCTGTGGCACACAAGAAACATCAGGAGGGCTTGTGTAATCGCCGGTCAGCAGCAGCTGCACCAGAGGCTTGGTCATCGCCCTACTATCAATATCGTGATCACCATCACCAACCTCTCTCCGTTCTCTTCCTTCCACCACTACTGTCTTGCCGTTGACATCTCAGTTGTGATCCTGCCTGATCCACTCTTGTCCTTGCTTGTGATACAGGTGTGGTTTGTGACAGTGGTAAGGGGTTCGTGCATGGTTTTCCCCGCTTAGATCGCTTAGCCTGTTCCGCTTCAGGTAGAATATGGAGTGCATGTTGATTAATAAGTGCGTTCAGGTGTTGAATGGTCCTACCAACGTACCAGGCAGCACAGTTGCGACACTCAACTGAGGGGTACACTACGATTAAATTATCAGAACAGTCAAGCGGACGAGGACGGGAATGGATCGAGCTAGAGCACAGCTGAGATGGTGACAAGTGGTGGAAGGCTCAACGGCATTTGTGGG